ATTAGGATTACTACTACTTTACACCTTTTACTATTTTTTTTACACGTTTTTTTTAAAAAATGCCAAATACATTTTAGGTGCCATAATTTAAATACGAAATTAAACTAAAAAAGCTAACACAAAAATTAAACACACAAATGAAATACGAAAATAGAACACGTAAAGTAAACACAAAAATTAAGCACTAAAATGATACGCAAAAATTATATATTAAAATTAGGAGATGGAACGAGTGCACCATGATTAAATATTGAAACTTGAAGAAATTGCCCAAAATATTGCTCCAAATACTTGACGAATTAATTTGAAGCTTGAAAGTTGCTCCAAAAATTTGCCCAAATACTTGAAACTTGAAAGTTATCACTTGATAGTTGATAGTAACAAAATTGAGAGAATAATATAGATAAAATATTAGAATGTAAGAGATTTGAAAGAGAAGATTGATTTTTTTGTGGGAAAAAATGAAGAAGAATGGGGGTATTTATAGTAGAAAATAGGGCCAAAGTATAATTTAATAAACGTAGGAGTTATATTAAAAGTTTAGGGGGTAGGGGGTGTTTTGCCCGTTTTTGGCCGTTGGCAACGGCTATTTTTGCAATTTAAGTCGTTGCCCAACGACTAGATTTTCAAAAAAAAAATTCACACAGGATGCGGGACGGGACAAACGGGACGAAATTGCCGTCCCGTCCCATCCCGTGACCCGTTTAATATTGGCCCATCCCGTTTAACTTGAAGTGAGACGGGACGGGACGGGACGGGACGGGAGGGCCCGGCCCGTCCCGTTGGACAGCCATGGCTCAGCCTACTCACACTACTCCTCTTGTTGGACCTGCTGCTATGTCTGATGATAGGGCCTCATCTATACCTGGTTTGAGTCAGTAACAATTCTCTCAACTTGTTTCTCTGCTGCAGCAAACTCAAATCAATCATGCACCTGAGCCTCAACCAAATCTGATGGGATCTTCTAACTTTGCTGGTAGTGTTCTTTCCTTGCTTGTTTATACTGGTGATGATTCTCATGCCTGCATGTTTTGTAGTGTAAGTAGAGATGTGTGGATTATAGATAGTGGAGCTACTGATCATATGACCTCCAATAAAGAAATTCTTTCAAATCTGACTCCATTTCCTACTCCTTACTTGGTAACTTTGCCTAATGGTTATAAGGCAAAGGTTACTTGTATTGGTTCCTGTGCTTTACTTCCATCTTTCACTCTTCATCATGTCATGTACAATCCTTCCTTTCAATATAATCTGATTTCTGTACACAAGCTTATTCAACAATTTCATTGTCTTGTCTTGTTTACCTCTATTTCTTGTATTTTGATACAGGACCTTTCCATGAGGAAGCTTCTGGAACTTGGTAAAGTGGACCAAGGACTCTACAAGCTTCTTCTTGATCATCAACTCAATGTAACATCTAACTTTCCTGTTTCTGTTTTTAGAAATAATGTCCAAAAATGTCTTCATTCCTGACCACTCTAGTAAGACTGCACATAATAAGGTAGCTTTGCATACTATTCATGTTGTTCCTTGTAATGATAAGCAGAGCATAAATAAAAATGATGTTCTTTGGCATCATAGATTAGGACATATTCCATTTTCTAAAATGAAAACCATCCCTTCTATTTCTGCTGAATTATCTGCCAAAATAGTCCTTTATATGTCATGTTTGTCCTCTTGCTAGGCAGGCAAGATTACTTTTTTCAGCTAGTTCTACTGTTTCTGATTCCTTGTTTGAGCTAATTCATGTTGACACATGGGGTCCCTACCATACTCAGAGTTATTTTGGGGCAAAATACTTTCTTACCATTGTGGATGACCATAGTAGAGCTACTTGGACTCACTTGTTGCATTCTAAAAGTAATGCTTTTACTATGCTGAAGGCTTTTATTTCCATGGTGAAAACTCAATTTAACCTCTCTGTTAAAAAAATTAGAAGTGATAATGCCTTGGAAATTGGACTTTTCAATTCTGCCTTACAATATTTTTCAGATAATGGAATTATCCATCAGACTACCTGTTCTCACACACCTCAACAAAATGGAATTGTTGAAAGAAAGCATAAGCACTTACTTGAAATAGCTAGAGCCTTAATGTACCAATCTAAGTTACCAACAAAATTTTGGGGAGATTGCATTTTAGCAGCTACTTATTTGATAAACAGATTTCCCTCCACCATCTTACATAACAAATCTCCATTTGAAGTGCTTTATGGCAAGTTGCCCTCTTATTCACATCTTAAGCCCTTTGGGTGTCTTTGTTATGCAATTGTGCCTAAATGTGAGAGGAATAAGTTTGATCCAAGAGTTGTACCTTGTGTTTTTGTTGGTTATCCATTTGGTAAGACAGGTTACAAGTTGTACAATTTATCCACCAAGTGTATTCTTGTCTCTAGGGATGTCATCTTTCATGAATCTGTCTTCCCTTTCTTGTTATCATCTTCTTCATCTTCTAGCTACCTTCTGTTGATACCCAATTTTTCCCTATGTATTTTTATATACACTCAAAATATTCTCAAAATAGTATGTACATGCATATATAAGCATACCCAAGAGTTTTGGTATTTTTCCTTATTTTAAAGATTTTTTAAAATCACTTTGTTGTCTATTTTAATAGTACAAAATTCAATAATTATTTCCAGACTATCATTTTTGGTGAATAATTTATCTTATTCTTATAATTACACCCAGATATAATTAAGGTGACTTTTTGCATATTTTATATAATTTTATTTGGTATTTTTAAAGCTAAATTGCTATGATTGCAATTATAGCCTATTTTTCGGTTAATAGTATTTTATAATTACAAAATCGCTCCTAGTGTTTTTTTTAATTAACATTTATATGTTATTACTCAATTTAGTGCTTTTAATTGGTTTTTAAAACTATTTTAACTATTTTTTATTAAAATAAAAAGGGAAGAAATGGTTGTTTAACATTTAGCCTCGTTCATTTCAATTATAACCCCTTTACATTCCAATTTTAACCACAAATTGAACCCCCAATTTCAACCCCAAAACCCCCGACCTAGTCCTCAAATCACTCGACCCATACCCGATTTAATGACCCGGTCCAGCTTTAATCTAATCTGAGCCGTTAATCAAATGAGATCAACGGCCCAGGTTTTATTTTCAAAATTAAATTCAACAACCCCCCTCCCCCCCCAAACCCCTCATTTCAGAGACGGTCTCTCTCTCTCTCTCTCTCTACACTGACTCTTGCTCTCCCTTCTGTCTAGAACCTTCTGGTTCTCTCCTTCGTCTCCGATGAATCGACCACCTCTCCGGCCACCTCCAGCCTCACCTCTCTCGACCACCAGCCACCGTTAAACCTTGTCTTGTTGATTCCCTCTATCTTCGAGACTCCAGAAGCCTCCACCATGTAAGATGGTTATCGGAAGCTCTGCCTGGTTTGTCTCCAACCTTTCTCCGTTGGTTTATGGTTCGATGGTGCTGCGAGCATCATTATTAACGAGTTTCACAGCCAGGTTCCTTACCTCTCACTGGTTTATTACGAAACCCTAATTTTCTTAAAAATCTTGTCTTTTTAAACGATTTTTAACTTATTCTTTTGTGTTTTACACTACTCTCTACTAGATCTTTTCGATTGTTCAAGTTTTCAACGTTTTGTTCTTCTTTTAAAACTAGGGTTTCCTGAACCCTTTCGAAATCACTATATCTTCTGATCTTTTGAGTATTATGTGTTTATGTTTGTGTTATGTGCTTGTTGGTGTGATCTTCTGGTTACTCTCCGAGTTTCATGCTTTAATTTTGCTATTAGGGTTCCAGCCTTCTATTGATTCTGTGATTTCTTGCTTAGGGTTCTCTGATTTTCGTGCCTATTGTGTTTTATAGGTCTAATTGTTCATCGTTTACCAAATATTCTGCTGATTGTGTGCATCTCTTCGAATCCCTGAATTTGTATATGATTTCCTTAGAAGTTTTACACTGATTTTTGAATCACTTCCTTATTTGTGAAATGCTCTCCTTACTTAGTACTGACTCCCTGTGATTTTCAATTTCATCCGTGATTCTTTGAACTAATTTGTGTGCACAATATGCTGTCCTTATACTTTCCTTACTTGAAATATTCTGTATACTTTTACTACTCCTATTATGGAAATACCAGTCTTGCAAATAATAATTTTCCTTATTTGATACAATTTGTACCCGTTTGAACTATGACTCCTTAATTGAAGGGAGTCCGAGTTTTTAATTGATTCTAATTGGTATTATTTCCATAACTATGATCAGTCTATACGTATTACCTTATTTTCACTTAATTTGAGAGCTATAAGTACCCCCATTCTCTTTTGCATTACACATTGATACATTGCACATCATACACAAGAACAAAAAGGTTCATTGCTCTGAACTCTCTCTTACACACATAAGCATACTCAGTGTTCTCTCTTATTTTCTACACATCCTCTCCCGCTTTCCTGTTGATTACTGATTACTCAGTCGGCTGAAAGCCAAGACTGATTGATCTTTGGGGGCTGCTCCATTATTCTGCCGCTCTATACATTGTTGATTGTTTGGTCTGCATACTACTGCTCACTTCCCTGCACACTACTGCTCTACACTATCTCATCCTTGACTGGTATGCCCTCTATTTGATTTGTAGCATCCAAAACAATATGCTTTTATACATGCTGCACTTTATTTTGTTTCTTCTATGCTTTTACTTATGGTTCTGCTGTCCTTATTGCAACTAGCATGCCCCTGTGTGACTATCCTCCTATTAATCCAGCATGCCTACTGGTTTGCTTAATGCATGTTCTCTCCTACTCCCTAGCCCCAGTACATTCTCAGCATGTGATCATGAGCCCTTTTGGTTGAAACCTGTTAACTGTCTAAGTTTTGAAATGCTTTCCTTTGGTATCTAGGTGCAACTGTGTTGTTACATGTGAACTATTTACCCCACTCCCCTTTTCCCTGTTTGTGTCTACTGCCCGGAACTATATGAGGTATTTTGGTTCTGAGTTTTGTCAAAACTGTCCCATTGTTTTTTCTTTCAAAGCTGATTCTACATGGATCATTCTTTTTTAAAACTGCTTTTCAACTCAATTTCTTTAAAGAAATTTCTATCACTCTCACTACTCCTAGAGTTTAGGTTCTACCCCCCTTCGTGTAAGCATTGCCTTGGGCACCTTTGAGTACCCATTGAACTTTGATGCACAAGGCTGGTAATTCCACACTGCACTTGTTCAAACATTTTTGTAATGTTTGGGTGCTGGTATTGGCCAAGGACCCCCATTGGGCCCTTAGGGAGCTTTGCCGCACCCAAACCATGGTCAAGGCTGTGAAACTCGAAAGAAGTGAGGTTGGAAGATTGGGCCTGGTTAAAGGCTCCCTATAGAGTAGCTTCTTATTTTATTTTTTTCATTATGTAATTTAGCTATCATGGTTTGTAATAATTTGTAAACAACTGATTGGGGTTATAGTGAAATTGGGAGGGATTATGCATGCTTAGTTTAATTAATGGGTAGAAAATATGTCTATAGGGCTTTACTTACCAATTTGTGCAATAGAAGCCATGCGTAGGACATGCATCTTACACCTAGATATCCTGTTTTAGGCTCTTTACTTTCAGATTGTTATACTCACTTTGTGATCAGTTAGTAATCAACAAATAACTGTTATGAAACTACTACCGCATTTAGAGACCATGCTTTAGGAGCTTTATGTGCATTAGACATCATGCTATTTAGGGTTGCAATTGCTGAATGCCTCACTAGCTGTTTAATTTAACAACACAAGTTTGTGTGACTGCGTCTTCTCTTTAAAACTGGAATCAATATGCATGTTCACCATTTTTTTTAAGACAAGAAGGCAATACATACATCGCCTAGGCAAGCTTTAGGCCCAATAATAATAAAGATGATTGATTTTGTTTTACTAGTTTCAAGCTACTCAACCTTTTAACTTTCCCAACTCTTTTACCCGTCTCTCTGAAGTCCACTCTTTTACTGAAAATCTCTTTATCTGGAAACCTGTTTCGTATTTATATGCTCTCACTAATTTCCTGATTCGTGCTCTATTAAGCTTTTAAATTACTGGTACATTTCCGCTCAGGATCACATTATTTTGATACTTGTTTACTTAAACTATTGTATTTTCAAATCTTTTTTTTTAAAACGATGTTTTAACAGTTCCCTCACCTTTACTTACTCAACTGTTTTCTTAGTTGTATTTCTGCAAGTCAAACACTCTTTGGATCACTCAGTTATGGTTAAACCTTCTGCTAAAACTGATCTTTAAACTCGCGATCTTTTAAGACCTTAAATGTGTTTGAGACGTGCTAATTACATGTTTACTTGTGAGGGATCTGTGAGCCTCTTATTTGCCTTTGTATGGTTCCTTTATGTGTAGTCCTACTTGTTATGTATGTCGCCTAGCATTTTGTCCTTTAAACCTAAGGGTTCGGCCTAGACCTTACCTTTTAGGAATAGTGGTCCTAAATACCCTCTAGGACTTATAGGACGGGACGGGTAATAGCACGCAATAAGCATTCGTGACCAATCCACACGTTTAAATAACCTTTACGGGGTGGGAAGGGTAGAATATGGAGATGATGACCGATGCGCTAATATTATGTGTGACCCCTCTTTGAGGAGTGATTGCTGGGTATTGCATTGAAGTGATCCATATTAATCATAAACCTAGGATCCCTTTTCCTTTGTTTGTCTTTGTTTGCTCTCTTTAGAATTGTTTAGACCTTTCAAATCTCTGCTCTCTTTCTACTTGCTTTCACAAGTTTCAATTTAATTGCAAGTCCTTATTTGAGCCTTGATTGATTATTTGTAAAGTCACAACATAGCATGGCCGGGAACCACACTAGTGGATCTTGAGGGGTGCCTAACACCTTCCCCTCAAGATAATTTCTAGCCCTTACCCGAACTCTGGTTTTCAAATTCAAAAACCTTAGTGTCCTAATGCACTTAATCATTAGGTGGCGACTCTTCAAATCCAAAAAAACCCAATTCCCAAACGGGAATAGAGTTGTCTTCCTGAATGTCGTAAACCCGATTTTGCTTTAGAAAAAGGGTGCGTCGACTGCATGGCGACTCTGCTGGGGAATCCTTTAGGCTTTTACCACTTCATGTTATATGTGACTTTACTGTTTTCTTTATTGCTTTGCTTAATACCTTTATTCGAAACTAACTTGTCTTTTTGTTTCCTTTTTCTTTAGCGCTTTCATTTACTGCTTTCTTTCAATACCGTCGTAATTTTCGAGCAATTGTTGTAACCATTATGAACGTGAAAATACGTGACAATCTTTTCATTTTTTGTAATTGCATCTTCAACATCATATTCCACTCGTGCCAAACAAATACCATAGCAACGCTTGATGAGTGGTTGCGCTCTTCCAATATTATTACCCCCTAAATTTTGGCAAAGGCGTATTTGTGGTAAAACTAGTCGATCAGTGGTGCAGTCGACGGTTCCGTGCCTTTCCCTCT